TAAAGTTTAGGGTTTAGGCTTTGGGGAGTTTGGGGTTGAAGGATGTTGAAGGTCTAGTGTTTAGGGTGTAGGGTTGAGGGCGGAGTTCAGGGTTCTAGGATTTAGGTTGTGCTAGGCCCCCACAAATGCCACTTACATTTACATTAGGGACCCTACAAATTCCTGTTGTACTAATATTACGAAGGCTGAGGGGTGACGGGGTAGGGTTTAGGGTTTGGGGTTTAGGGTGAGTTCTACCCGGTTGGACCGCGACATCATCTGAAGTGTTTGTTGTCTCATGCCTTGGGTATGCTTGGCCAGTACTGGCGTTATAGGGGAGGATAACTCTTTTTTATGATTTGGTAATTAAAAATGCTCCGTCTTAAATATGCGTCATGCCATGACCGAACACTTACCCAGCATTGTCAATTGTCAATTGAGATTCAATGTCAAATTACAGGTTCAGCTTGCAGGCAGAAACAATCATGCAGTCAGCAACGAAGCATTTGTATTGCCAACTACGCCTGGAAGCTAACCCCATCCCACCCCCGTCCTTGTCCGTGAAGCATTCTAACCTCGGTCTTAAGATGTTCAGGGCGGGGTGTTAAGCTCTGGGCTTCCCCATATACCATTTCAAAAACAGGGCTCCCTGCTTCGAGATTCTACAAGGCAACTTCCCCCGAAAATGTCGAAGCACTGAGGCCGTGGCCACGTCACTCTCTCCACCTGAGAAACTTTATCTAGTTTGATGTTAAGGCCTGGCGGGCTTACATATTCACCTTGTTGGCTACTGGGGGTTAAACAGGTGTCCGATAGCTGCATCCGGAATTGAGAAATCTCACAGTTTCTGGCACGATAACAAAACGAACTCATAAGCTTGTGGCCTCGAAATGAGCTTTCCAGAGGCACGAAGCCCACATGAGATAAGGCACGAGTTGGAGGGACCGGTTGGCAAAGAGAATAAAACTGCCTGCGGGATATCTGATGGAAGAACAAGTGGCCTCGCGCTCACAGTGAAGGTGATTCAAAGTCTTGAGTAGAACGCCAAGATTTAAGGGAATGCAAACTTCTGTTGCCCAGGATTTCAGACGGAGAGTCGTACTGGTTCGGCTGTGGGGTTCGTTCTTACACGGGTCTCTGAAGTGTTGAGGAAAAAGCCTGCTATCTTGAGCGCTAAAACTCAGGTGCCTCAATTAGACCACATGTTCAAAATTTCCTCTTCAGGTAGAATGTACTGCATATCCCAACAACTCTCATTTTGAATCCAGACCCACACTCCTCGTAGCTGATTCATGATCGTTTCTATGCCCGCCTGGCAGTCATGCCTGTGCTCTGCAGCCTCGCTGGCAGCAACGGCGCTGGCCAGGGTTGAAGGTGGCATGGCGATGGCACATTCTAATGTAAGGGCCTGATCTTTGGTAAGAGGGTGTGGGTTTGGGGCTTTGCGTGACCATGGCTCCTGAACAAAACGGTACAGGTGCTTCATGACAAGTTTGGCAACTGCCGTGCTGTTTATCGTAGCTTGCAGGATCTAATAGTCTAATATTAAGTGCACCTTCGGATAATGTTGAATCAGTGCTCCATGCGGCGACTGCCGCTCTATACTGAAGCTGCGGCATGGAAGGAGCTGACAGCCTGTCGACCTTCTGGGTTGAGGACCCTGCTGAGTTTGGAACTCGCAAGCGGAGGTACACAAATCGAACACAAGTCTAGAAAAATTGCCCACATCCTTACCTTTAGTTGCAACTTGGTCCCCCCACCTCAGTAGTATGAGGCTCGCAGAGGCCTTGTGCATGAGCATAACTGAAATTTACATCTACTACTTGCAAGTGCTTTTGAGTCACTGTCCGGTGTGAAGCTCTTTCCCTTGCCCTGGCACAGATGGCGCTGACAGGCAACGGAAGGGTTGGGATTCTGTGTTCACCGCGGCTCCTGCGGATTCCACAAGACCGCGAGAACAGAGGCATTAACTGGCATCAGATTCAACTCAGAGTAGCACTGATCTCTGGCACAGCACCAGGTATTTCTCGCAAGGCTCAAATGATCTGACCTTGTCCAGGCTACGATGTTTTGTATGAGGATTTATGGGTGCTGGGCGGAAAACTGGCCAAGGACGGCCAAAAATTCGGAACTAGCAAACTGAATGAAACATCGACCCCTCACAGTCAAGCATCTGGCCCGGTGCTGCATCGCCCGCACCCGCCCCGCGCTGGGCATTGCGGCCAGGGCTCGAACTGGAGGGGTGAGACGCGGTGGCTCCGCAAACTTTGCGGCCTTTGGGCAGCGCTTTTAGGTTTCTCAAACCTGTGGCCTCTATACGTGTAATGACTGCACATCTTTGAGAAGCCACCAGGTGGACGCCACGGTCCGAGGCAGAGCAGTGGCAGCTCGCTCTTTCACTGCCCTCAGCCATCACTCGCTCTGGCTTGGCAGACCGCGTCCAGCAAAACTCCCAGCCCAGAAAAGGGCCGAGATGGCCATGCGGAAGCATGTTGAAGACGCATCAACAACAGGATAGTCAAGCAACCTCAACAAAAAACTGTCACAACCTGGTTTCTGTGTTTCCCGACGGTCCCACACAAGAGTGTCGCCCACTCCAAGAGTCAGACTCCAGTGGGCCATGCATGGAAAAGTATCTGTACCAGCGCTGCTCTGATCCCACCCATCGCAACACACTTCGGAGGGGGACGACATGGAACTTGGTCTGCATTATTACGGTTCCGACAATGCAAAAATTTGAAGGACCTGTTTCATAATGGGCACCCCGCTGTAAGGACCCGTACTATAACGAATTTAGGCTGACCGCAGCATAGACATGTGAATAAGAAGTGAGTACTACAACTCCTTACCAGCGCTTTGTCATACATTTCACGGAACTTTCTATTGACATTGCCCAGGCTAATGTGCGATGGTCATCTATGCAAGCCCCCATGAAAGAGGAGACTCCTGCCCAAGGGTTAGAATGTATATTGGGACTTGGCGGGTATATAACCCCAATATAACCCCTATAGAACCCCAACAGAACCCCAATAGAACCTCAATAGAACCCCAATATAACCCCTAGGAGTTATGGCCCCCACTATGGCGGCAAAGCCCGGGAGCGGGTTCAGCACGACGCCAAAGGCTCAAGGAACCATGGCCCGGGCTTCCATCAGAAAGCATCGGGAGCAGTTGAAAGCTTGCAACCTGTGCCCTCATGGGTTTAGGGTTTAGGGTTTAGAGTTCAGGGTTTAGGGCTTAAGGTTTAGGAAGGGCCTTTGTCAAAAATTCCCAGAACTTTAGCTGCCACAACTTCGAAAAAGGCGGCCCAATCTGTGAGAGCATCTGGCACTGCAACCCACACTGCTTCAAAAAACAGTTCCGTGCTCTTTTCCATGATCCATATATCAACCCTAAATGGTAGTTTCCATTTTCTTGTCCATTATCCCTACAGAACCCTAAATAGTAGTTTCCATGTTCTTTTCCATTGTCCCTATATAATCCCAATACACTATAACCCTAAACCCCAAACCCATTCCAGTTTTTCCCATGTTCTTTCCCATTATCCCGATATAACCCCTAACCCCATTATATACCCTAAACCCTAAACCCTTAACCCTATCAGCCTTATAATCGAAACTCCAGCCCTGGGCTTGAGACACCCCACGGCGGGCAAAGGCGCAGCAGAGGCTCAGGCCTTGAACTTCTTCATGACCTCCCCAGGCCGATACTGTTAGGGTTTAGGGTTTAGGGGTTAGGGTTCAGGGTTTAGGGTTCAGGGTTTAAGGTTTAGGGTTCAGGATTTAGGATTTAGCTTCAGGTTTAGGATTTAGGTTGTAAAGGTTTAGGGGGAAGGTGTGAGGATGAACATTTGAGGGTTGAAGGCCGGTGGCCCTGTCGGATTCTCGTCTCAGGGTTTGGACGTAAGGCTGCTAAATTCCCTCTGATTTGGAACGAAGACTCAATCCATCCAGACGTGCTCCTCACAAGACGCACAAATCCCTGGCCTCCTTCTTCAGGTGCTTCTTGTAAGACTGGATGTCGCCCTCCCACTTAGACACCGTCTTCCTGTCCTGCGCAGAAAAGGGGGGTGATAGGATCTCAGACACACACTATTCTGGGTTGCTGTTAAGGAACTTAAATTAAGTTACCATAATGGGTATATGTAGGGATAATGGAAAAGAAATTTGAAACTACTATAATGGGGTTATATAGGGTTCAGGCTTTAGGGTTTAAGTTACCATAATGGGTATATATAGTAAATAATCGGGTTTTCCCCAATAGAGTAACTTAATTTAAGCTCCTTAACAGCAACCCAGTATTCCCAAGTGCTGTTGAATCTTTCTCTTATAAACGGCCGGCTTGCGCTCATTGAAACCTCCTCAACCCCATCTGAGATGCAGACGCACACCCAGATCTCTTTCGCAACCTGCGAGATCAATCGGAAGTCGTGACTGACCTGGGATGCAAGCACCTTTAACACGTGAAGACCAAGGAGGTGCCTGCTTAAGTGACGCGATCTGCATGGTTCGGTAACAACACTTAGCAGCTAAGGGGCCTAGCTGCGAACAGCAGAACTGAGTTTCGGGGTTTCGCTTGGACGGCAGCTCGTAATCGGCGATTGCGGCAGCAGCATGAGATCAAGAATGATAATAGCACTCGCTATATTGAGAAGAAGACCTGAGAAAACTGCCGCCATCAATGCTAACCGAAAACAAGTCACACTAGGGAGGCGGTGATCATCGATGGTGACAGGTATGCTAGAATCATGTGATAGAAGTGGTGATCATATTTCCTTACTGCCATCAGGTCGCCAAAACCACACCTCCAGAGAACTTGTTGATAGCCTTCGCCAGGGCATCGATGCACTGCCTGATCGGAGGCCATGCAGAGAGTTTGTTTGAGGCCGCAACTCAAGGTGCCTTCCTGTCTGAGTGCAAAACCGGAACCCAGGATTATCTACTCTTTCTTGAGCACAAGTAAGTGTAGACACTTTTATCAAGTAGGGCCTTGGTCCCTACAACACATAGTTTCAGCGTTCCTGTCTCACCCGCTTTGTGAAGGGTCTCTCCTTCAAAGCTCACCGCCTTCATTTCAAGAGACAATTACCAATGAAAGGAAATATTGCAGGCCGCTTCTCCTGCATACGACTCATGTCAACCGCCGTCGCAAATATCATCCATGCATCACCATCATCACCATCACCCTAGAAACTGGCACCATGACGCAGCTGCTACCAGCATCATGATCGTCCACCTCCTAGTCCTACTTCACAATCTACCCTACCCCCTCGCCGGGCCCGCTCTATGCTGACCTGCTTGTTTGTTACTTCTTCGACAACTACTCTGGCCAGGCTCTATGCAACCCAGGGACATGTCCAAGTGGTTCGTCGGCTCATCAAGCAGCAAGACGTGGGGATTCACCAGCGCCATGAGCAGCATCACCATCTGGGCATGCAAAGTTGTTAGAAGAACTCTGAAAATCTTTGTGGAGAGCCTGGCCTAGGTGCTCTGAGCCTTCTAGTCTAGCGGTTTCATTGTTTGCATGTTTCCTTACCTCTCAGCAAGGAAATGAAGGAATGGATTCTTGTAGACTTTCTCTATGTGGAACAGAATAAAAATCTCCATTGTTCCTTCATTCAGTGCTGGTCAGAGGTCCTTTTTGGGATACGTCTCTCTGAAGCTCTTTAGGAGGGCCTGGCAAAGCTGGGGCAGCAAACCATGAATTTGAATAGTGATCAAAATGAGCAAAGATTGTGGTCCGCATCGTCATGAGAATATGTAGAAAAGACTGGGTAGACGCCCCCTCTTAAAATTGTGTAAGTTATATGTTATATAAGTCGATTGGGAAAAGCATATATCCTCGCCAGGAAATGATTGCCACGATACACCGCCACATCAGAAATGCAGCGATGAAAAATTCAAGCACTGTATGCCTACCACGTACACTGAAAACCTTTGAGATTTAGAATAACACCCCGAACCGCCCCAAAACCTTCCCAACACCTAAAGAATAACTTCTCACGCGAAGTCTAAGATCGTGACGCGCGTCCGGTATCCGTCCTGGCACGTCTCCACAATGCAAAGCTTGCTGTCTTACGGTTTTGGGGGTTTGTGGGGCTGACAGCTTAGGACTAGTAAGTGGCAATGGGTTGGAGGCTAGGTCACTATGAATTTGAGCTAGGATTTGATACAAGCTCGGTATCGTGCTCGAAGGCAGCTAGTGAAAAGCAACAATCTGGAGGGGATGCCTACAGAAACGTCTGTAGCAAGCCTCCCCCACAACTAAAGCTTGAAACCCTGATTTTCCACTCTACAGCCTGAAACCCTGGATTTCTGGAAACTTCAGGCCTTCAAGCCTTTGCACCAGAACACCACAGACCCCTTCTACACAGCATCATCTATACTCCCCCTTAAGTAGATAGAATATGGGGCATTTGGAGATCTTATTGTAATATACACAAAGCTATATTCTATCTACTTAAGGGGGACTATATGCAGAAAAGTGGCCGACATGGTCTTCATCTTTCGGGTCCTGAGCGCGTGCAAATAGGGGGAGTCTTCTTGGGCCAATATTTGGGGGTTTCCCAAAATTAGGGGTACCATTTTGGGGGTCGCTATAATAAGGACTATAGTATTTTGGGGGTCTATATTGGGATCCCCCTATTTAAGGAATTTAGCTCAACAGTCCCAGTAGACAAGGGTCCTTTGCTGCCCTACTTTTGAAGCAGCAAATCTCATACTGGGGTAGTTCATGATCGTCTGAAACCACCGCAAGTTTCACCACCATGCACCTAAACCCTTCAAGCCAAGATCTTCCGTCTCGCGAGGAGCGGGTCGACAATGACAACAACGCATTTAGGAAGTACTGACCGAAAGCAATCGGTAGGCAATCAGAAATACAATCCTGTCAAGAGAGGGACGGCACCAGTTGCAGAGCTTCAGTACGGTAAAATTACTTACTTCGAGCATCCCCACCCTAAAGCCGTTATTGCACAAGAAGTGTAACGTTTCCCTGCCCCGCCTCAACTGTCTTCCTTGCAGAACTGCAAGTGTGCTGCAACAATATTGAAACTCTGCAGTGCCCGGATATTTGGTGGCTGGACACTGCAGGGATACTCTGTAGTTGGGCACTGCAGCGATACTCTGCAGTTGGGCACTGCAAGGATACTTTGCAGTTGGGCACTGCAGGGATACTTTGCGGTTGGGCACTGCGAGGATACTTAGTTGTTGAAGACTGCAGGGATACTTTGCAGTTGGGCAGTGTAAGGAAACTCTGCGGTTGGGTACTGCAAGGATATTCTGCGGTTGGGCACTGCAGGGATACTTGGTGGTTGGTCACTAAAGTCAGCTTCCAGTCGAGCGAGGACAACATTTACCTTAAAATCTAACAACCCCACTGCGAGGGTGGGGAACAACATCAGCAATGCCAACTTGAGGACTGTAGCAAACGCTTGTCAGAATTAGGGCCAGCTGCATAAGAACAAAAGAGACGACATAATTGAAGGCCTCAGACAAGTCTTGAGACTCAAGGGTCTGCGGATTCAAGCTTCTGAGACCATCCTCCTGGCTTCCCAGACTGCATAATATGAACAACACCCGCCCTTTATTGGGTTTAGGGTTCAGAGCAACGCCCTTTCCACAGAGGCCCAGGCTGGAAGTCACCGGTGATGCCGAAGGAGCCCAGCTTGCCTGCGGATGCTCCAAGTCACCAGCAAGGAGACGCGTGGCAGCAGCAGTGGCAGTGGCAGGAGCAGTTGCAGTAGCATCAGTAGTATTAGTCGCAGTGGTAATGGTAGTAATAATAATACTGAAGCAGCAGAAGCAGCAGCAGTGGCAGTAGTAGTCGCAATAGTACGACCAAGAGAAAGCAGTAGCAGTTGGAGCAGAAGTTGGAGCGCACGAGGGGCCTCGCCACTCAGGGTCCTCCATCTTCTTCTTCCCAGATGTCGTGACAATGCCCTGGGAGCGTAGAGACGGTTGGGGCTTAGGGGGAAGGAACATGAATGGCTTCTAAGCATGCCCTCAAGCTTAACCACCCACAAGGTAAAGTGAGATGCTTCCAGTCTGCGCGCATTCACGTCCACTGTCTATGCAACCCGTGAATTTTGCATTGGGCTTTGGAGGTCCTTCCCCAAACATCCCAGGAAGGAAAGCAGTCGGCCGAGGAGCTAGGAACACCCAAGTCAAATTTGAGATCAGGATTTAGGAGTTGTGCCTTGCAGGCACTTGCTTCAATACTCTTGGACCTAGTTGACACAGCGCCATTGCTGCACAGCCCCTGTGTCCAAATCCTAGACCCAGGCAATTCCACAATCATAAACGTCCCCTGTGGTGCAAGACGTCCTCCATCCACCTGAGCCCTTGAACGCGAAACCCGAAACCTTAAATCCTACACCCTAAACCCAACTTGCGGAGCCTCCGGGTAGAGGTCCTTCAGGAACTGAAGAGGCGTAGCTTCGAGGTCCAGGACAGCCTGAGGCTTAAAAAATACATGGATAAGAAAACGGAAAACACGGAAAAGACCATGCAGAAGGACGTGCAAAAGAAAATGGAACAGAAAATTGAAAATGAAATGGAAACTGGGAGTATATTTAGGTCATACTAATGATAATACCAGCAATATGAATAGTAGCAATAGAAATGAAAAGAAATAACGTCAAACTCGCCCAAAAGAACCCAGCCAGACAGGATTCAGCCAGCAGGGAGGTACAAACTAGGCTTGCTGGCATCTTCGAGGTCCCTGTTCGGGTGAATGCTATTGCCCCCAAACCCTAAGCCCTAAACGGCATTACCGTATTGCCTTGGGTCAGTGACGGGTCCATGAAAGTCAGCATCTCGCTCTATGAGCCTTTCGAATCTTGCTTCCAGGATCTGAGTTCTTCTAAGTACTGTGTTTGTATAGAAACCTGAGACCACTTGCCTCCAAAGCAAGAAGCAAGAGGCTCGAACAAGGATCGCTGACAGTGTAGAAACCCACCTGCAAAACCTCTCTGTATCAACCATAAACATCCGTGGACAACTTTCATATAACCTCAAAACTGGCTCAGTAAGGTCGCGATAGTAAGTTCAGGCTTTGGACCCACGCGCTAGGCTTCGGCTTTAGGATTTAGCACCTGGGGACATGAGTATATCAAAGCATGATGGTGACTATAGCATGTAAGACATCATTATATGCTTGGGACCATGCTCAAGCTATGGCTGATACTACACAAGAGCCCAAAATGTTTTCTGCACCCATGCTGCATAAGCTTACATAAAACCAAAAAAAAAAAAAAAAAAACGGATATGCCGCCATTGGCGGGACTCACAACCACATGCCACTGATTTTTGGAAGCTTCCACATTACCCGTCCTCCCTTCTCTGGCAAACAGGGGATGGATTAAGGTGCCTCGCTGTGCTGATTGTAGTGACCGATGCGCAGCTTGCCACTGCGCTTCACCTGCTGCGGGCCATGCTCTTAGGGTGGGGTTCAGATCTGCAGGTTTTAGGAGCCTATTCTTAAGGGCTCCAATACCACGTATGTCCGTAAATTGGGGTCTATATTGGACCTATGTGTGGAAACCCCCGCATCTGGGGTTGGTTGAAGATTGTGGGTTCAAGGTTCAAGACTCAGGGTTTGGGGCTTCAACTTTATCCTCAAGATAGAATGCCGTGTCAGGCCCTGCAAAGCCCAGTTGAAAGAAGGTGCCTGATTTCAAGCCTATCAGGATCGTCCGTCTGGGAGTTCAAGGTCAGATCTTGGGACATGGGCTGATGGCTCCGGAGTTTTTGTCAGTGACAAACCCAGAAAGTGAGTTTTCTCCAAGCCCAAAGCAGATTGTATAACATAGCATAACATACCATAACATACAATCATATACCATAATATACCATGATATACCATAATATACCATAATATACCATAATATACCATAATATACCATAATATACAATAATATACCATAATCTGCTGTAATTTACTAGAATATAGTATCGGACAAGTTTCCGCTGGCCTCACCCTCGGTAGGCTCGATCTGCTGAAGCATCAGCCTGGACGTAGAATCCAGGTCTCAGGCTTCGGGGCTGCTGTCAAGGAACTTAAGCCGGAAATTAAGTGACCCCTCATGGGGTGTATGTATATATATATATAGAGGGTATAGGGCTTTAGGGTTTTAAGGTTTAAGTTAAGAATGGGTATGTATATATAGATATATATATATATGTATACAGGAGCATCAGTAACTAATGTGGTTTCCCCTACATAATAACTTGAATCAAGCTTTTCAACAACAACCCAGGAAACCTCTTATCAACCTAAACCCTAAACCCTAAACCCAGGAAACCTCTTATCTTTAGCATTGAGGATCCAGGGATTGCGGTTAGGGCGGCTGTTGGTTGCAGCTAGAATCCAGGGGATGCACCGATCGCGGCCTACTTATGTAGGCGATTATATATGATTTATTTACGGATTATATAGGGAATATATAGGGAATATATATATATATAAGAATTATATAAGGATTTTATATGAATTATATATGAATTATATGGGGATTATATAGGGAATATATATATATATATATGAATTATATAGGGATTATATAGAATTACATCTGTTGAAGTTGAGACAAGGTTTAAGGTGTTGGCATGAAGGATGATGCCTGATGGTTCCAAGGCGCTGCTAGTTGTCCCGATTTCTTTAAACCAACAATTCAAGACGTCCGGTTTACGGTTTAGGGCCTAGAATTTCTCCATGGAAGTTCAGGTGGGAAAGTTACTCCTACATCCCCAAGACTGACACCTGCAATCTTGTAACACCTGCATGTAGAGATGTATACATTCCTAAGGTCTTCTTGGCAGCCTTCTTCTGACTTTCACATCATAGACCAAGCCCCCAACGTTGAAAAACGAAATTACAGTTACAGCTTGGGGCGTATAGTTCAGGCTTTCGTTTTGACAAACTCTTAAACTGCAGCTCAGCAACTTCAGCAGGGTAGACTTGCCAGCACCATTGGGGCCTTGGCACGCTGAAAAATGGCAAGGAGCCTTCCAAGAATTTCGATGAATATGGAGGAGAGACTGCTCACCACAACATAGGGGCCACACGAAGGAATAGATGGGCATGAAACACAGCCTTTCACAATGGCGACAGCAATAGTGAATCTGCTTGATGTCAACAAGGCCAAAAATTGACAAGACCCAAGCTTATCACAGCTTGGATCCTCTGAATTATGGGGGGGTCCCTGGCATGACTCTTAAGAATTAGGGATCTCCTTGATTTCCTGATTTTTGATTGTTTTTTAAAAAAAATATGAAGGAATGTATATGAAAAAACTGAATGCGATGTTAATTGATTTGATTGCGACTTTAAACTGGCTTTGAAATCTTTAGACTTTAGTAAGGTCTCACTTGCTTTCAAAATCTGATGTTAATTAGCCCTATTACAATTTGATTAGAGTTAATCAGTTCTCTATTCCATTTAATCAATTTTAGGATTTATTCGGTTTAAATTAGATGTCAATAGGATCCTATCGTATACCCCGCTTCTGTTCGGGTCATACGAGGAATACTCCCCCTCTACTATTAAAATGGGACGGATGGAATGCATGGGAGGAGCCTTTCATATTAGGGGGTAATCATTGAGGTAAGGATTAAGTCCAGAAAAACCTGCAGATATTGATTTTTGTTTTTCACGGTCACAACATGTACTCTTTCTAGCAAACTCTAGACCACCTCATAATGCCTGCAAACTGCTATTGCTGAGCCCTCAACATGGTTTAGGAGTCTAGGGTTTGTGGCTTGACCTAAAACTCCCAACCCCGAAACTCCCAACCCCTAAAACCTAGACCCTGAACCCTGGATTCTGGGGCTTCAACCGACCAATGCGATACGCGAGTCCAGGTCCACACCCAGCTCGAGCTTCTCGTAGAGGTGGTCCTTTTCGGGTGGCAGGTTTCTAGGCTGACAGGGCTTAGGGTTTTTTTTTTTTGTCGGGCCTTTTTCCTCGGGCTTAGGGTTTAGGGTTTAGGGTTTAGGGTTAGGTAATAATGACTATAAGGCATAATCGTGAACATATTCGGGTCCTCCTAAGCGGGATTTCAACAAGATATGCAGGCATACTGTCGTCACGACTCACTGTGGGATGCAGGCCAACAGAAAGGACAACAGTCGATACGGAGGGAACCTGACATCAACTTTAGCCAGTTGTTGCTTCCACAAAACATGGTAATTTAGCCGACTGCGCGGACCTGGGTAGCTGGGCCTGAAAAAATCGGTTTCGAGATAAACTTTATGGAAGACTATACACGAATCGGGGTTTCCCAAAATTAGGGGTAACATAGGGGGGCGGGGATAATGGAAAAGAAAACTGGTAACTACTACATAGCAATACACGTGTGGATCAACATCTCATGATGCGATGGCCTGCGACAGTCAAGCCTCCAACTCAAGGCCTGTTCTACACATGGTAGAATCTGACATGAGATGTAGTCTAATGTCTAAACTCCGAGTATCCCCCTGAATAAGCCCTATAATGGAACCCTGTTGACTCCTATATACAGCCCCTTTAAGACTATAGATGACATGAACAGCTCCAACCTCCTTCTTGCCCGAATACGAGAAGGACACGTTGTGGAAGGCCATAACCTCGAGTCTGCGCTTGGGGGTTTAGGGTTTAGGGTGTAGGGTCGTGCCAAAACACCATGAGTGTCGTTCATACGGACGTTTACAATGGAGTAGCGTTCTTCAGTGATTGCACCTAGTAAGATCAAAGTCCTTGTATAAAATACTATATCCAAAAGGAGGATATAATCTTACTGTATATTGGGTACCATAGTCCCTCTAAATGCAATACTAGTCAACTAAGTTTTCACACGCTCGGGCCACGCTACTGGAAGTGTCTGCTTCAACCAGCGTCTAAACGTCGGCTTCCATGTTGGTCTATAAGATGGTACAAGCTGGAATCCAGATTGCCCAAATTGTACCATCCAAAGGGCCGACCGAGCATAGCGCACTGGGCTAAGGGTTCAGGAGACTTGGGATTATTTAGATTGGTTGTCTGAAGTCCTCGGGCGCTGGGTTGAGCTTAATGTGCTATGCCACCTACACGCCACTCAAGAAGCAAGCACTGAACTCTAACATCCTGAGACACTACAAAGCCACAGAACCGTCTGCGCATGCCTGGGGCTTCTGCAGTGATCTCATGGCTCCGGATCCCAGAACAAAAAGGAAAAGACAATGGGAAACTAGGAGTTCAGAAAAAGCATCACTTGTCTTTTCTTATGCATCCCCCACCTAAAGAACAACCCGGGGCCAGAAAAGCCTCGGTAGCCTTAAGTTGTGACTCTACCAAGAGCAGAACCAAAAAAAGACACTAGCCCTGCTGCATCTCGCTGCTGTGTTCTCCTAGACCCAAAATGCCTACAGAACCTGTTGTTGCATTGAGACACTCTCAACCATTCTTGAAATGGCTGCTGAGGCTGTGGCCGGGGGCGAGATCTTCTCAGAGTCTGGAAAGGTGAACCTTGCATGACCCCGTCGCCAACGAGGAGTTCACTGTGTCAGCCCCGAAATACAAAGATCTTTAACAAAGCGAGGCACGGCAAGGGACCCTTCTCCTTCAATTGCGCAAGATTCAGGAACCTCGCTTGGCTAGCTTCAATTCACCTGGTAATGTTAAACATCTGAATGCGAGTGGTGACGCTTTGGGTTCTAGATGAAGATGCCACAAGTCACACTCGGAAAATCGACGTGCAATCATGAAGGTCTGCCATCTATAACTCCTCTTGCTCAAACCTTTCGAGTCGAGTCTGTAGGCAGATGTACCATTCAAATGTGATGGATGATTGACTTCGGAATGGAGTCACTGTGGCTAGGTTCATCCTTCATCCTCTTAGAAACAGGATCTTAGGGGGGGCTGTGACCCTTTTAATTGCATTAGCTATGTATCTGCAATTTCATGGGGCTGGCCTGCGCAGCAAATGCCTGTTGCGTCTAGCATCTCTCCGAACTTCGGAGAACATTGGGAGTGGAAAGGGTCCACGCTGCAATACTAAATAGTCGATCCGCTGTACAGGAACTCCACACGAGACGCGTCCCGTCTTCATCCATCCGGCCCCTGGATTTACCCCTGAGCCTTGGACCTGGAGGCCTACAAAATGTTAATGCATGGCACGACAGATTTGATGAGCACTTCAGTTCTCACCTCTGGTGCAAGTTTGTACGATTCATGGGATTCAAGACGGAAAATTGAACCCGGAACTCAAAATCCCTGAAGCTGTGTCATGCCCTGACCTCCATACTCAAACACAAAACCCACAAGCAGTACGTACAAAAGACAGAAATCACTGGACATCTGAGCTCACTGCTCATAAGAGGGATCTGCCATGGGCTTCTCGGTCAAACCAGCCTTCATCCCGGCAATAGCCCAAATAATCTGTACATAATTGTACAGTTTAAGGTTTTGGGGCTTACGGTTCAGGGCTGGGGTCTTGGGTTCTGCATACAATCCTTGCAAAACCAACCCAAATCCTACAACGCTTCTACCTTTCAATCCGCGCATGGCGACCGAGCATTGTCACACACCGGCTGTCCACATCCCAACAAACGCAGCGATGCAAAAAAGACCTCAAGCGAGCGAGCTAGTATGACGGCAACTGATTGCCCTGCTGCCAGAATCTCAATGGTATGCTTCCCACTGACTATAGGCAACCTCGATTCTGAGAATCAAGCATCTTCTTGTACCGTAAGATCATTGAATCATGAATCCTTGCCTTGCTTCTAGGGTCGAGGTTGAGGTTCAGGGTAAGGACACAAGGCCCAACCTCCACCATCTTGTCGATGATCTTCTGCTTCGACTCAGCCTGCAGGCAAGTGTTCGTGCTGACTTTGCTCTTTCGCAACACAGAGATGGTAGTTTCCCAAATAGGAGGACCCTACCTAATATAGACCCCAAAATACTATAATCCTCATAATAGGGACCCCCAAAAGGGTACCCCCAATTTTGGGAACCCCCCGATGTCCTTATGCTCCGAAGTATGGTCATCGAGCAGTGGAATTCTTATCAGCCTATCTCCTGTCTCTTAAGCGAACCCAGGGTCAAATCCATCTCTTGCCCTCATTGCTGCACGAATAGGAAGGCCCTAGAGACAGAGCAAAACATGCCTCATGCCCCCTGCGAGTACACCTTGACTGCAGTGTGCATTACTACTGCTACTACTCTTACGCGCTTTGTGATCTCACTGCTCCAGTACCACCGAGTCTGGGCACGCCGACCTCATCTCCAATGCTCTACGCCGGTAAAACTCACCATCATTGGAATGGTGCTAGTACTTCATAGGGGACAACTCTTGCTTTAAAACAGCCGCTCTTAATTTTCTATCGTCACTCTCTACAGCTTTTGCCCTCAGCTCACGTGCCCAGTCTCGCCTTTTCTACCTCTCCTTTCCATTCACAGCCTTTGTGCTGCTACAACTGCTCCATGGACAAAAAACAAGCTTAGGGCTTTTGCAGAAATTCAGCTTGGCCACCTTCTTGACAACTCCTCGACTGTCCCAAAAAAAATGACCCATCTAGGAGGCGCTAGAAACCGTGTCCTACTGGTTTGCAGACTTTCTGCAAAATGTTCTCACTCCCCCTGACCTCCAGGTCCAGGAAAAAGGCACCCATGAATCATGAAACCACCTATCACTGCTGCGCTTACTCTGACTTCTATCCAAACCTGCACTCGCAGGTTCGCGTAGGTACCGCAGGAGCGGATGAACTCCTTTGAGAGCAGAGGGCTTGAGGCATAACGCAGTAGATGGATAGGGCATCTTCAAGGTTGTGCGTCGTTTATGCGGTCCTCGTCTTCAGATAGGAATAGTGTGGAATGATTCTTGGCGGTATACCAGAGGCCCCTGTTAGCCTTTTGCCTTGGGACTCAAACTCAACACAAATACAGGCGCCATGCATGCGAATTTGTATGAGTTCTTACCTTAGAAGAGATTTATCATCGGATGGTGTGAGTCATGCTAAAATGGATAATGGAGGTCTTGCACTATGGAGTAGAATACCATACTAGTTCTGTTCCAGTAGTTACGATGCGTCAGCTGTTTGGAAGCCTTTCTGTGGGGAGCTAATGTAATGACTCAAACATGGAAATCCGATAAGCATAATCTTTCAGTCCCTTCATGCAGAGTATGAGCCAGGAGCCCTAAACTCCAAAAGCCATTTGTTGGGGAGCCCACCCTGAAATCCGAAAACGAAAGAGTGCAAAAAACCTAGAACCTGGAACCCTGTGATCCCAGAACCCCGAATGGCTCAAACCTTAAGAAATCTCAACCCTGCAGCTACACAGCCTCAAAAAAACACAACTCTCCTGGAGGTGCTTGATGTCATCCTGCTCCTGCGTTGCTCTGAAATCAGTCTGGGGAAAGCATCTGGATGTGGACATTAGCTCGAGTTACTGTCCATTACTGGGGCCGCATGATTGAGGTGAGCCCGGCTGTCCAAATTTGGTGTAGCCCATAGACTGCCATTCCTAAGTTTCGTATGCAGTGCGCAAATATCAAGAACCCTTTGATCTTTAGAAACCATGCGATAACATGAGCCCATCCCAGGGATAAGGCTTGCAGCGGAGGTCCAGTCTGCGCGCTTTTTGGCTGGTTGGTCAGATGCCTTTGGAAAAAAGTATCGCATGTTTGCAACAAGAAGAAGCTTAGGATGATTCAGATGTCACAAGCAACATAACATCTCCTATGCCAAAGAGCTGTTTAACATCTTAATCAAGATGGTGGGGCCTTGTGAACAAGGGGCTTTATCTTGCTTTGTGGGCCAATGTAAGACCATGCGAATTCTGGACACGACAATCGAGATTGCACCTTCTTGTACTTCGTCATCTGGTTCTTCTCCACCTCTGTTCGCGTCTTGATGTACCTGGCCAACATTCTGACCGTATCGTTCCTAGACTTGATCGATGCCCACACCTGGCAACACCTGAAAAAGCCAGAGCTCAAAGACTTACAGGCCTTCCAGCCCATCTGGGATGATTATCTATTTCTTCAGGACGAATTAATATGATGGGACAGAGGGGCATCTCCAAAGCATGGGAGCCTGCTTAGAGATCTCCTCAAATAGGGGCTACGGTTGCGTAGGGACCTTCGGGATACTACTTTGACATGAGAACTAGCCAAATATCCGCGGCCAAGTGGCTGGTCGTAGTTGCCACCCCACACGACCAGGGTTCCTCTAACAGGCTTCTCATCATTGGAACGCGGTTTCTGGGAAGCATATCTCAAAACAGAAAGAAGGTAACAAAAATTGTGAGTTTGAAGGATGCTAGGGGGTTATCCTGAACGAGGTCTGAAAGACTCCGCTGCGCTGCAAAGCCCGTCCAGCCCACATAAGACTCCTAGCAAGACTTTGCCTTTTCAGACCCAAAAGGTTGACAGTGTTAGCGTTTGACTAAACTGTGGACACCCAGTAGACGATTTGTACCACACTCTTCCAGGTATTGCAGGATTCGCTCTTCAAAGCCAAAGTTCAATTTCTGAAGCATGTAGGTCTGTCAAAAACATCGGGTTTCTACTTGGGCCCCCCTGAGAAGATGGATGCACATATGAAGGATGGATCCTAAAATGGATAGCTACCCGTTGGCCATTTCCAGGATCTGATCATCGTTTACGCAAAAAGAACAAACAATCACATGCCCTGCACTTATGCTCAGATGCTAGTTTCCCAAAATAGGGACCCCAATATACTACAGTCCTTATTATGAGAAGCCCCAAAATGGTACCCCTAATTTTGGGAGATCTCCATATATGAGCTACAGTCAATATTTCGTACCCAATTTAATGGACATGGGTTCCTTATTAGGGACTCTATTAGGGACTATACTAAACTACAAGAGGACCTTAATGTCCACTGTTAAGCGCCCCTTAATAAGGCTAATGTTGACAGTAGCTCACATGGAGAATTG